GGGGGGGGGGGGATTCCATTTTGCGCCTGCTCGCGGGAGCCGCCTCCTTTCCGCCGAGACGCCAAAAGGCTCTCCTCCACTTGCACGGCGTTCCTTCCGCTCGACTCGCTTCGGGATGCGGACAACCGCGCCGGTGGGATGCGGGGCCGGAGCCCACCCCGACATCATGACAAATATTTGATTGCGTGTGCGGGGGGCCGAGGGGGGGGGCTTTGTTTTAATGAGCAGAATGCAACGACACTGTGCCTTGACATCGCAGAAGATGAATGTGATCGCAACCATCACGCTCAATGAAGACAACAGTCACAGATCGCTCATCCACAAGATGTTTGACACAGCTTCAGTTTATGCAAGCCCCCCCACCCCACACACACACACACACACACACCAAAACGAGGGTTGACCACACTGGCTTGAGTGGCGGTTGCTCCTAAAAGACAACAATGGCGATTTACACGGGCCCTCGGTTTGCTGACTTGTGGACGAACGTTGGCGTGCGCAGATCGAAATGATTCCAGCTCATCTTGGCGTCGTCACTGACGGCTTTGCGACTCTTTGCCGCTTCGGGTCGGAACACTTTGCTCTTGCATCCTTCGGGGTGGTACGAGAGGAGCTCCCCGCCGGTTTTGGTTTCAACGTCACCCACTTTATCGTCGTCGTCATTGTCGCTGCAGCCGACCGTCACCAGCTCGGCGTGGCAGTCCGCCTCTTCGTCATCCGGGGCATTTTCATAGCCCATGAAAATCATGGTGACGGCCGCGGGCTGCGGCCGGCCCGTTGGGTTGTGGAAAACATCCGTCGGGGCGACGCTCTCCGCTTTTCTTTTGCCCCGACCCTCCATCCGACAGTCGAGCGCGCACAAAGGCGTCGGCCTCGCTTCCGACCTGACTTTGACGGTGGCAAAAGCTCCCCGCGCGGGACCGTTGACGTGTTTTGCGTCGTTAGGCAAAGAGCCGCACGCGCCTCCGTCGCGCCGGCCGGACGGCGTCGCTTCTTCTTGCCGACTCGGGGATCGGGCCCGGCCGTTTCCTCGCGCCCGTTGTTGAGGAGGGCGGGCGGGTGACCCGCAAAGTCGCGGAGGGCTTCGCCGGCGGGCGTCATTCGCCGCGCGGGGTCCCGGGAGCCCGCCGGTTCCAAAGTAAGCGGCCGAGTAGACGGGCCGGTGATAGAGCGGATCGACGGCTAGCGGCTCATCCGCGGCCCCTCGTCCGAGCTCGTCGGTCCGCTCGGGTGTCATTTCGCCCGGAGACCGCGTGCCCGCCTCGGGATCGGAAGCGCGCGGGCGCTTGCGTCCGTCTTCGGACGGCCCGGAAGCTCCGTCCCGCGTGGTTTCGGGGCGAACGGCCGCCGCGGGGCCCGCTTGACCTGTTCCCGTTCTTTGCTCACGCTGCGCACTCACCTCCATTGCAAATGTTGCTGGAAAGCACAAATATCAAGGTCTCAGACTCGTGCTCTCAACTCCCAAAACGGCGGCGCCCCCGTCGGCCGGTGTTTGGGCCACGCTCGACTCGGCCGCGGCCACAACGAGCGGCAGTTTGGCAGATAACAAACGAAAAGGGAGGCTTCCAAGCCTTTATCGCCACCCCTCGGTTGGACCGGACTGCAAAAAGCTATCAAGGATCATTTGTCAAAAGGGTGGGCGCTCGGGTTTGGGAGATCCCCAAAACGTGCCTCCGAGCTTCGGCCAAGGCTCGCTTTTGCCGTCTCTGATGCAATGGTGACAATCGTCCTTCGTATTGAGCAGAACAAACCGTCGTCGTTTTCATCCGTTGCGACGCATAGCCGGAGATCAGCTCAAAGCAGGCGGACAAACAAGCCGAGGCCAAAAAGGCTTTTTCACCAAATGCGAGCGTTATGGTCAGTCACTGGACTCACGCGGGCAAAACTTCAATCGTGCCGTTAGCCATTTTGCAAATGATGAGTGAGTCGAGCAGGTGAGATCGGACGTCCCGGGGATTCCGAGCGGCGTTCGCGGCGGGCCGCCGTCCTGCCCGTTCTCCGGCTCTCGCCGCCGCGGCGCGCCGGGTTCGAGTCGGGCGCGCCG